CAAACAGTCAAAAGTCAAGCTCCAAAGGCAAAGCAAACTATGACAAAAGATGCAAAGGAGTAACACTACAGATAGGAGACAGAGTGCTTGTGCGTAATCTAAGGGAAAGAGGTGGCCCTGGCAAACTACGACCCTACTGGGAACAAACAGTCTACATTGTGAGAGAGCAGCTCGGAGAAAACCCTGTCTACAAGGTGAGCCCAGAGACAGGAGGAAACTTGCTGCTTCAAGTGAACGACTTGCCAACAGATATTATCCAAAGTCCAGCTGACCAGCCACGCAAAAGAAACAATTAACCCACAGAAAGACCAAAGGCACCCGAAGAGTCTCAAAGTCCTCAAGCCAGCGACTCAGAGGAAGATGAACCTCCATACTGGCTTCGTGTACCAGATACAGTGCATCCGGAAAGTATTCACAGCGCTTCACTTTTTCCACATTTTGTTATGTTACAGCCTTATTCCAAAATGGATTAAACACATTATTTTCCTTAACATTCTACACACAACAACCCATAATGACAAAGTGAAAACTGTTTTTTGCAAATTTTTGCAAATCTGTTAAAAATAAAGAACAAAAACATAACATGTACATAAGTATTCACAGCCTTTGCTCAATACTTTGTTGAAGCACCTTTAGCAGCAATTACACCTATTTATGGGCAGTTTCTCCTATTCTTCTTTGCAGAACCTCTCAAGTTCCATCAGGTTGGATGGGGAGCGTCGGTGCACAGCCATTTTCAGATCTCTCCAGAGATGTTCAATCGGGTTCAAGTCAGGGCTCTGGCTGGGCCACTCAAGGACATTCACAGAGTTGTCCCGAAGCAACTCCTTGGTTATCTTGGCTGTGTGCTTTGGGTCGTTGTCCTGTTGGAAGATGAACCGTCGCACCAGTCTGAGGTCCAGAGTGCTTTGAAGCAGGGTTCGGGCTTGTCGGTTTGATACAGTCAAAGTCAGTGTTGTTGTAGTAGTCGTAGCAAAGCTCAAATTTACAATGGAACCTGTGGCAAAGGGAGGTCTCTCCGAGATGTGGGAGCACTTCAATTTGATTTCCTCTAACACGGTTTGTAATAGGCAGGCAAGTCTGGCAATAGGCAAGTCTGTCATTTGTATTGTGTAATTATGGATGTTTATTTTTATTGTGGAGACCACCCAATATTTGGCTGAACCAAACATTCCACGGAGTGAAGACCCGCTAAAATATTGGGTCAAACACAAACATGTGTACCCACATCTATTTGTATTAGCACGTAATCATTTGAGCATTCCTGCCTCATCGTGCCGTGTGAGCGCGTTTTTTCTAAAGCTGGGGAAACAGTATCTAAGAAACCGACTCAACCCCAATACTGTGGAGAAAATTGTGTTTCTCAATAAAAATCAATAATAATTTCATGCCCCATCCCATGTGTCCACAAGCACCTCAATATCCTGTCATAAGAAACCTGTCCAAAAGCACAATCACTGCCCCACTGACCTTTCCTCTACAAATCACTTCCCACATTCAAACAATTCACATAAGTTCCTATGACTGCCATGAACTGCACATTCAGTAGGAAGCACTTGCTGGTATTTTAAATTATATTGCTTACATACAAGTCATATATATATCTTCTATTAACTCTTCTGCTAGTATGATCACAAACATACATGCACAAAGGTGCAGAAAGATATTGATAAGTGTTTGTTCCACTTCTTTCCAATGTACAGAGAATTGAAATACACAAACAAGGACACAATTCAAACCTGAAAAACAATAGTTTTATTCATATAGGAATCCATGTATTTATTAGATGATTTATTGGTTCAACTTTTCATAATCAGAGATTGGGCCAAAATATACTGGTAGGCTATTCGATACATTTGCACTACAGGTTTTCAACAGCAGAAGGTCATCAAGGAGTTTGCGATGCATTGAATGAATGAACCTATTTCCGATACAATTGGCTGGAAAGCTTCACTTTGCCATCACTACCGATCGCTCAGTCTGGCTGGGCGGCCAACTCTAGGAAGGGTCCTGGTGGTTCCAAACTTCTTCCATTTCTGGATGATCGAGGCCACTGTGCTCATTAGGACTTTCAATGCTGCAGAAATCGTTCTGTACCCTTCGCCAGATCTGTAGTGTTGTTACCTCCGACCCTCCTGCTTCGAAGCTTGTGTCGAAATATGAACCAGTGCAAGGCGAAGCAAATGTATCGGTGCTCGGTTCGTTCGCTGCTGATCACGTGATCAGTGACGTCCGAAGCTTCGGTCCGGCGCACAGTCACGTGACCGCTTCGATTTGATTCAATGGGCTGGAAACAGGGTTCGGGCTTGTCGGTTTGATACAGTCGAAGTCAGTGTTGTTGTAGTAGTAGTAGCAAAGCGCAAATTTACAATGGAACCTGTGGCAAAGAGAGGTCGCTCCGAGATGTGGCAGCACTTTCATGCCCCACCCCATGTGTCCACAAGCACCTCAATATCCTGTCATAAGAAACCTGTCCAAAAGCACAATCACTGCCCCACTGACCTTTCCTCTATAAATCACTTCCCACATTCAAACAATTCACATAAGTCCCTATGACTGCCATGAACTGCACATGCAGTAGGAAGCACTTGCTGGTGTTTTAAATTATATTACCTACATATAACATTATATATATGAGCAGCATAATTAATAGAATATATATATATATATTCTATTAATTATGCTGCTAGTATGATCACAAACATACATGCACAAAGGTGCAGAAAGACATAGATAAGTGTTTGACATAGATAAGACATAGATATGTGTTTGTTCCACTTCTTCCCAATGTACAGAGAATTGAAATACACAAACAAGGACACAATTCAAAGCTGAAAAACAATAGTTTTATTCATATAGGAATCCATGTATTTATTAGATGATTTATTGGTTCAACTTTTCATAATCATGTTCAACTGGGACTGGGCCAAAATATACTAGTAGGCAATGCGAAACATATGCACTATAGGTTTTCAACAGCAGAGGTCATCATAGAGTTTGCGATGCATTGAATGAATGAACCTTTTCCCGATCCAATTGGCTGGAAAGCTTCACTGGTTCAGAAAGCTTCACTTTGCCATCACTACAGATCTGTGCCTCGATACAATTCTGTCTCGGAGGTCTACAGATAATTCCTTGGACTTCATGGCTTGGCTTATGCTCTGATATGCACTGTCAACTGCGATACCTTCGAAAGGTGTGTGCCTTTCTCAATCATGTCCAATCAACTGAATTTAGCACAGGTGGACTCCAATCAAGTTGTAGAAACATCTCAAGGATGATCAGTGGAAACAGGATACACCTGAGCTCAATTTTGAGTGTCATGGCAAAGGCTGTGAATACCTATGTACATGTTGTGTTTTCGTGCTTTATTTTTAACAGATTTGCAAAAAACAGTTTTCACTTTGTCATTATGGGTTGTTGTGTGTAGAATGTTGAGGAAAATAATGAATATAATCCATTTTGGAATAAGGCTGTAACATAACAAAATGTGGTGTATATTGTATCTGCAGGAGATCTGCAGGAGAGCCAACATCCAACTGAACAAAGCAGACTTCAACCAAGCCGGACAAGACAAGTAGAAAGAGTTCACTTTCAACCTGAGCAGCAAGGAGACAATGTTGCAGAAGGGGGACGAATAACCTAAAGACAAAATGAACAAGACACAGATCTACCAGAAAATGACTGGGAAGTACGTCAGCTTTACAAATTGCTATTGAACTAACCAGAGACTTGAAGTATTAAGGACACTTGAAAGTGACATTCCAGAGACTTTTTAGAAGAGACTTTATTAGTTTACGAAGGTTCTGAGTTTTTAAGTCAAGTGTCAGGAGCCACTTTTGTCAGGGCACAGAGCAGTTGGATGTCTAAAGCGTCCCAAGATTCAGGGAAACTGGAATCGGCCTCTGTCAAGGGACATCCAAAGGGACATATGTATCGACCGTGCATGCTAAATAACCCATTTCTAGTGGTAAGGCGAACAGTTTGGCCGGGGTGAGGAGGGGGGTGCGGCGGGGGGGAGGGGGCTGTTGTCAGTCCGCTGGTGCTCTCTCCCCGCTGGCTGCGGTCGGTTATCAAAACATTGCCCAAATGACCCTTTTCAGACTTCATTAACAAATACAGAATCCCTTTGTGTTCATTTCTAAAGCATTGCATTAAGACATACATCACTTTATTTAAGACGCTGCAGGTACTTGCAGGTCGCTTTGTTGAGCCTGATTCGAAACAATGATTTATGGCAAACCCATGGTCGTGAAGATACTCATTAAAATGTAATTTGGATGAGGAGGAGGAGGCGGGTCCATGTCTCTACTGAAAAAGGACCCTTCCCCTGACCACCGGAAGAACCTACCACCGACTACCGCAACCTGCCGTTCCGAAAAGGGAACCTTCCACCGACCACCGGAACCTGCCGTCCGGACAAAGGTACCTTTTGTAGAGAGACTATCAAAAGGTACATGGGCACCTGTTTTCTTCCATGCTTTTTAGGGGGCTCGACTCTTGGTGCCATGAAAATTGCAGCAGTTAGGCTCCTCATCATCACAGTGTCACACAGAACTCTGACATCATCATTGTTATTACTATAACTATAAAAAACTGAAAAGTTTTTGTTTTTTTATGTCGTTTTTATTGCCATTTAGTTTATGTTTTTTACCAATTGGCGTTCTTGCGGCGAAAGTAAACCAATCCTTTTTGCTTGTTATCAATGCAAACGAGACAGGATAAAGAGTTTGGAACCTTTACTTTACCAATAGCCCATTCAAACTCGACCATTAAGAATTGGTCTAACACCCAATAATGAACTCCTAGTGAGTCTACGATTTATTTTTTGAATTAATTACAACTGTTTTCAATTGTTTTCAATATTTAACTATTCAAGAGTCAAATATTGAACAGTATATAGGGTCACAGGGATTGGGGTGCCAGCAATTCTGGTGGTAATTTAAATGAGTTCACCTGGGTTGAAACCACCGTTGGGCTGGTGGTGCAATAGATAACGTGTCTGACTACGGATCAGAAGATTCTAGGTTTGGCTCCTGACTAGCTCGTGTTTTATGAATGTTTTAGTGAAGCTCAAAAACCTGCATTACTTATTTGATGATTTTAATGTGATTTAATAACACTAAGCAGGATCTAGTACAGTCTATATGCTACAGTAACATGGCTCAAACGCCAGTGAACAAAAGTGCCTCTGATTTTCTTTCGTAATGTCGAATAATAATTAGGTTTGCATAGTAAATGTCATGGCAGCTACATCGTGAATGTTCAAAAACTGCTCCTATGCAGTTGCACTACATTTGAAATGAGACAAATGTACCTCTAGATGGCAGCATCTCCACGCATATTACCGTGAAATTGGTCTCCGTTCAGATTATATAAGATAACTATAAATCACTTGTTTCTCTTCGGTTAGTTGAAAAATCTCCTACAAAGTATGATTTTGCTGAGTACCCAAAGCAAGTACAGACACTGATTATCTTTTGACTATTATTCCATGAGCGTGTTTTGTGTATACTTGAATGCTTATGATATAGTTTCACTATTTCTTAATATTATCTGAACGCTCTGTTAGTAAGTCATAGTGAATCAAAGTCCGTCAAGAAAAATAACTCCAACAGCAAATTCAAAGTCCCTACATTTTTGATTGCTCTCCAAAATAAAAAAATAGTTTGTCATCACTCTCACAAGGCTTTCAAAACACAGTAGTTATGATGTGTTTTGCACACACATTGTTCCCTCCGGGCCCCCACTGCTCAGGACAAATCCCTTGGCTCGTTTCCCTTCCGGAATGAAGCTGGTGGCCGTGGGGATTTATCAAGCGACCAACACAAAGTACCATCAGCTGCATGTGGGCTTAACACTCAAGTGTGTGAGAGATGAAGAGTCTGCATGCAGACATGGCTTTGACACTGCTGACCGTGATGCTCACCATCCCATACATCTGCAAGGGAGGTGAGAGGTTTTTATGACACAGCGTGACCTGGTATTTCAGGAGATAATGCAGCCTCTCAGGCTATCATTTGGGGAATTAATGCATCTGGATCACCTGTTTATGTGACAACGCTGTTGAGAAAATCAACAGCGACGGACTTCCTTCAAAAAAACAGAGAGAAGCGTGAATCAGCGTGTTTTCCTGGAGGCTGCAGCAGCGAGGTCAGCGAGGCTGGAGAACTGATGGAAGCAGACGATGTTGAATATGTAAGTTCCCAGCATGTTCCTTTTACCTTTTATTCTAATAAAGCATTGCAAATATGTACCTGAAATCACATTGATTTGATATCTAATTAGTCTTTGTGTTTGTTTTGGGGAAAAACACACGTTGACACATACGGTCTTGTAATCAAACTCATAAGAAACGTTCTATTCTTTCTATCAATGTATTATTTCTCAAAGTTCCATTGTTAAACTGATTCAAGTTCAGCTTTTAAGCCTAAAGCATTTCAAATTACAAGTTCTGTTATTTGAATACGCATCCAGACAACAATTCTTCACAGAAAAAGAAAAAAGAATCTAAGCTAAAAGCACTGTCAACAGGAAGGTTTCGATTACAAATGGGCCGCCACTCTCTGCACTGAGTGATATTCTATCCACATGGAATTCGTAGGAATAGAGATCATGTCCAAAACTTTGACTCTATGCTGGAGAAGCCCTCCTCTGTTCGACCAGCATATATGGTGTAACTCAATCAAGCTATCCACCGAGGCATTTGCCATTACTGTGTTCTTACATACCAGCCTTTCAATAAGAAGACAGAGTAAAAGCAGAACATTAACATTTATTGTTACTTGCACCGGCTGCAGATATCAGATGACCAGCATGAAAGTCAGCAGAGAGGTGGAATGTCAATGGGATTTGTACATTTATACAAATGTTGATTCTTGGTGCTGTAAATGCAACCCCGGTCTGTTATTCTTGTGTATACTACGTTTGGAGTTAATAATACAACCTATTTATAGGAGGAGAGTTCCATCCTGCTGTTTGATGTTGCTGCAGTACAGAAAGAAATAAAGTTGTAGTTTGGTTTTAAATCCAAATTTAAATACGCTTTTCATAAATGAAATAAAAGGCATATGAGAAACGAGGTGTTTGAATAAAGCTATTAAAGCCCAGCCTAAAACCCTTTTGTCTTTAAGGAGAGCTCTGGAGGAGAAGCCGCAGTGGATGAGGGATCTGGGATGTAGCCAAGATGGAGAGTTGAAGACTTTCCCAAAAGCATCCTGGTACCATGGGCAACTTTAACTCTATCTTACATATCTAAATATATATTTAACCTATCAGGAAGCTTAAGAGCATATCAAGTGACGTGTAAGCATTCTAAATATAGCTATTTGAACATTTTAAACGTGTAATGTCTGCATATTTGCTTTTTTTGTTGTATCATGGGATTATTAAAGAACTTTAACATTGAGACCACCAGAACTGAGTAAATGGATGACCTGCTAATACTGTCGGAAGAAAAAGAAGAGGAAGCATTTAGTTATTTAGACCTTCTTGGGTATTGTGAACTGTCTAGTCCTCTCTTTAGCTATGCGGGACAGTTGTGTTGTATGTTTTGTTTGTATTATTATCCCATCTAGTTAAAAATAATCAATGGAATTAGCCTGAATACACGTGGCTTTAACCACACACACAATTCAAATATATCACATCCTGCCCTGACTCGTTTTCATGTAAATATCATATTGTTAAATACGCAGACGCAGAAGCATGAGTCACATGCCGATCACGGGCTCGGATGGCTCTTTCTCCCCCAATATTTACTGAACAATTAACCCTTTTAATCGCTGCAGAGCGGAAATAGGCACATTGAAGGCGGTCCTCTTCTTGTTGTATGATTTAGCTTACATCTCTCCATATTTTTAAATTACAAGTTCGCTTTTATGTCTTAAACCAATTTTATGTGGCAAGAATTGTCGCTATGCAGAGAGCTACAGGCCGCTGTCTCTTTAATGCTGCCTTCACGTTCTCATCGCGAGATCACACTTTATTTCTGTAGTAGTAAATACTAATGTATTATTATCTGTTAACAAAATATACCAGATGGTATGAGCCAGTTATTGGATGGTATTTTATGTTAGGTACCACATTATTAATCTGTACATGATTTTACAGTGAAGGGATTCTTAAATTAAAGGAATTGACTGTGTAAAAGGTTTCCTACATTAATTGTGCTTAAAGTTCTTCTATGGGCATTACTATTCAATTGCATGTATATATACATTGTGGTACAGCGAATGAAAATGACAATTCCACCCTTAACGTTTTATTACATTATTAGTGGTTTTCTACACATATTTAATCTTTCATTTCCGATAGCACTCGAAGGCGACAAAACAACCGTCAAAAGTAAGTTAACGTTAGCTGTCACGGCTAGACACTAGCTTCAGCTCGGATACAAGAAACAGCGTCAGTGTCGTTCAAAGAAATATATCACAATGTAAGTACATCATGCTTCAACCAAAACTTTTTATAAAAATCCAATTTGACTTTGTGAAACCTGTCTAACATACGGCCTTCCAGGTAGTTTGGTTTAACAGGATAGAAGTAAAAGAACAACGCCCTAAACTTTTGAACTAACGTTAGCACGCAACAAGTGCTAGGAAGGTATCTTGGTTTTGCGATGAGGCTAAGCCAACGAACGCAGCGATACGATAAAGCCTGGTCACTCTACCCGACACAAACAAATATCAAACACCATTGGCTAGTTTAGTAGAAAATTAAAGGAAACGATGGCATGCTTGTTTAACGTCCACATCTGCTTAACGTGACTCATAACTTGAGCTGTATGCTAGCCTAGCCTTTCCTCGGGTTCGTGCTTTCTTTTTGGGTTGACCCGACGTTGCCCGCTAACCTACGCAGCATAATCACATCTAACCTTAGTTAACCCTACCGTTAAATCCAAGCTGTAAACCTCTCTCCGCTAAACTGTTTTATTTTGTATAGCCCAAAATCGCGAATTACAAATTTGCCTCCGAGGGCTTTACAGTCTGTACACATGCGACATCCTCTGTGCAGAAAGCCTCACATCGGCACAGGAAAAACTGAAAAACCCTTCCATGGGGGAAAAAAGAAACCTTAGGGAGAACGTCAGAGGGAACTACAATGGATGTCATGTGTACAGAATGAACAATGTAAGAGATGTACAAAACATTTAATTCCTATAACAGAAACGATTCAATTCAGTAATCTGATTAATACCCCTTTCCAGCCTTTTTTCGTGAGCCATGTAACGCCAACCTTAGTTTTAACACGTCAAAGCCCTTTTTTGTAATAGTTTAATTTAGGCAATAGTTAGGACAAAGTGATGCGTCAGTGTTATAATTCACTATTTATTGAACTGTGTTCATGCTACTATGTTTCTTTATTGAGAATTTAGCAGATCACAGCGACTTGCAAGTAGCGCAGCTTGTTAAATAAAGTGATGTGTGTCTTAATGCGAGGCTTTAGAAATGAAGTGAAATGAAATAAAGTCTGAAACGGGTAATTTGGCCAACGTTTTGATAACCTACCGAAGCCAGCAGACAGGGAGCACCAGCGGACTGACTACTACCCCCGCCACCCCTGTCCGGCCAAACCGTGAGATGTCATGTACACACATACGCCTATCATTGTCCGGAATTTGCTAGTTAAATAGCCTTTATTCCGGTTACGTGTTTAATACTGTAACAAGTCACAATAATCTGCTTACAGTAAATAACCAATAACACGTTGCGGAAAGTATGAGTGTCTTTTATTAATGAAATTTCATCCCACAGGCCCAATTATTGTGTAAACTGGCTCATCTTAAGTGGAATATGATCGTCATTCATTTTACATACACCAGTGCTATTTATGGTATGAGCGTATAGTCTGAACATCTGCTGCGCAAAAGGGAATTCAACGATTAGAGAAACAGACTTTTGGTTTGTTTTTTGTTTTGAATCAGCAGCATTGTATCATGAATAGTAGGTATTTATGTAGTTCTTTTTAGATAAGTTGGAGCTCCGCTGCCCCACGTGTACAATCCTAGACGTGCAGTTTCAATCTAGCCTTTACTGCACCAAACTTGTGTTTCCTTATTCGGAGTTTGGGTGTCTCTCAGGGTAACATGCTCAATTAAGCCTAGTTTATGCTTCTGCGTTTTCAGAGCGACGCAGACGCAAGACCCCTTGCGTGTCCCATGCGTGCCTTTTCACACCACCGTGCGTGCGTTGACCCATTTTTCTAGGCTTGCGACGCAAGCTCCCACAGCGCACAAGGCTGTGATTGGTCTGCTAACTACATCTTTTACAGAGTCTCACATTTCCGTTTTCATAGCACAATACCGCCATTATTAAAACTAAGAACGCGCACATATTCGAATATATTCAATTTGCCTGTGTTGTTCAAACGTGGACGATTGTAATTTAAGTGACCTGTTGTCCATCACTACTACACTGCTATATATTTTCATTTGATTAGCCAATATTAATAAAATAAAAAAACAATTCAGCATTTTCTGCAATCAGCGTTGCGATATTTAAATTATCGAAAATGCTTGGTCGTTTTTTTTTTTTTTCTTAGTGTTTTGGTAAGCAAAGGTGTGCTTGCTTGCAATACCTGTTTTGTATGTAAAGGAGTGATCCATCGACTGTTGCCTTTGCTGACGTTGCTTGACGCTGTGGTGTAAACTACTACAGGCTACTTTTACTGAGTCATGAGAAACTCTAAACCTTACACTATCTGTTGTCCTTTTTTATTAGCTAACCACTGACTAACCTCAAAAAGAAAGAAGGGTCATCACGCCATATGACAGCATTAACATTTTGCATTGGTGCCAGAATTCTTTTCTGCTTTCATTGAATTTAATGGGCATGGCAAGTCTCACCATAAGCCATAATATCTGTGTTGTTTAACCTTTGACTTTAAAATAACAATACAACAACAATACAATGTATTTATTGTTTGGTCCAAGATAGCTACACCATGACACATGTCCAAACTATTATCGCTGACCAGACCAATTTATGATGGTCTATAATTATGACTGGCAGGCTATAATCAATAATGTTTTATAATTAATCATAAACATCCTTAACTCCGACTTGATTGAAAGCGTCAATGCACTGCAGCACCGTGTCTTTCTTTAACACTATACAAGGATTGTTTCTTTTCATGTTTAAGTGTTTCCTCCAAAAAAATAATGTAGGTTGTCTCTTAACCGATGTATAAATACTAATAGCTTCGTGGATGATTAGGACTTGATTACTAAGATTCTCTATTACAATGAAAACATTTAGAATAGTACACATGCACTGGTCTCGAACAAGCCTTTCTTGTTTTTTTCTTTTTGTTTCGATCTAAGAAACGTGGATAAACAATTGATGCAATCGATGGAATTTCCGTGTTTGTCTCCTTCTTTAAAAAAAATATCTTGCCTAGTTTTCATGAAAGAACACACTTCAAAGAATTAGAAGACGTAGGTGCATGCTTGCAGTTAAAGATTGGACTGGGTGTACAAAGTCGTAAAAATTGCACAGATGTTCTTTTTTCATGTATTTCAACCAGCAACCTATATATTGTCAATTATGTAGCTTATATGACTCATTTATCCTGCAACGGCTCATCTTGTTAAGGAAAGTGTGTTTAATGATTGCTATTATTGGCAGATAAATTAACCATCAATAAAGTGTAATCTCAATATTCATATAAAACACACGTCCCGCCTCCCATTCCTGAATTAAACAATTACGTATTACCTTTTAATATATGTAACTTTTACAATTTATGGCTATTTCTGGAATTAATTACCGGTTTCATCTTTTAGCATGCCGCCAATCCCCTCAGTTGTATTTTAAATATTCAACTATTTATAAAAGCTTTGACTCATTTGGCAATTGTATAGCTATGTGATAGTCCCAAGCATGACTGTCATACGACTTTTGCCATATTATTCCTGTGTGTTTTAACAGTTGCGCTTCAGATTGACATGGTATGCAAAATATTTTATCTCACAAAACGCTAATATCCACATTTATCATCATTTCACCAGGTCAGCAATCGGTCCAGAAGGTTCTGGCACAGCGTCAGGGAACAAGCGCTTGCAGCAGACCCAGGCCCAGGTGGATGAGGTATGATATGTCAATTACAACATGCATCCTTTATTTTCTCTCAGCCGCTCTTATTATTGAAACCCTTCAGTCACTCTTTAATGTCTGTCTGGAGCAGAGACATGAGTTATCCTTGGCAGCAGTGTCATGGATCTCTCTCTCTAATACTTTTCCTCCACGTGTCATTACACACAGATCAATTAAATTCAAAACCTAGTCAGTGAGGCCAAAAGAAATAATATGGCTGCCCAATCTACCCTTCCTGTTTTTTCCCTCTAATTGTCCTTACTCTTTGGTTCCTTGGTTGCAGCCTGGTTGATACGAGCCCCTCCTACACCGAACTTTTTATCTATCATTTCAAACAAAGCCTCCAATTGGCTGGTAGAGGCTTATGTAATCACTTCCTTTATGCTTATGTAAGAACTGCGTGGATCTTCACATTTCTCTTCACCCTGCTGCTCTGTCTGAGAGGAGGGGCAGTTGCGATTTTTGTGGATCAGTGGAACATGTGTGGGTTATGTGTGGTCTGCAACACTGTGTGTGTCTGTCTGTGAGCACATACTGTACATTCCTGTCTGTTTTTAGGTGATCCCTTGTCCAAAAAGCTGTTTGGGTTGGAGGTTACTCTACACTTTCAGCATTGACGTTGTCATTCTGAATGGTGTATAGTACATTTCCATTTTATTATTTGTTTAGTAATAACTACTTATGTGAATACTTTGATCTTCAATGAGCTCTGGTCAGAATTACCCAACATTCAAAGCCAGTACACAAAGATACAGTCATTTTAAAGGTACTGACAAGACACTCAGTTTAATGTTTGTTTGTGTGTTATTAGGTGGTGGATATTATGCGTGTTAATGTGGACAAAGTGCTGGAACGTGACCAGAAGCTTTCTGAACTGGACGACAGAGCTGATGCACTGCAGGCTGGAGCCTCGCAGTTCGAGACCAGTGCTGCTAAGCTGAAAAGGAAATACTGGTGGAAGAACTGCAAGGTGCCTAAAATCAGTTCACCAATACAAGAACAAGTTAAAAAAAAACTCTCACCCCATAAATGGCATGCCATTATAAATGAATAATTCGTTATTTATTTATTTTTTTTCCCCAATGATTTTCATAGACATAAATGTAGCTAAAAGAAAGGTTTTGCTCAATCCTGTTGATGTGACACTGAATTGTCCGTACTGTTGTTTCTTTCAGATGTGGGCCATCCTGATAGCTGTCATTGTGATCATCATCATCATCATTATTAGTGAGTATCAAGATGGTGGTTGGAAAAGCTCTTCAAAAATCAATGATTGTAAATGAGTTCCTGCTGAAAGCCCACAATATGAACAGTCGGATGCGTTTGATCTTCAATGTTGTTATTGATGTCTAATATATTTAAATCAAAGATACTTTTGTTAGTTATTACAATTTTATATATTCTTAGTTTATTAGTTATTAGTTTCACTAAGTAGTTCATATGAATAATTCCAAATCCTTCATATGCAGTTTGGAACTACTCCTAAAGCCACAACAACAGGCGGAGGAGTGGAGGAAACAATGAAGAAGAAGAGAGGAGCAACATACATAATTAAGTCTCAGAGGAAGACAATGACGCGTGATAACTGGCTACTGAGCTCCACAACATTTTTCTCCCCGCATGGAGTCTTCATCCTATGACCCGGTTTGCCGTGTGGACACACACACACGCCTGAGTAAAGGATTGTCATAATAATAGAATTTTACCCTGCATTCTACCATAACAAATATCTTTAAACTTATATTAGTCAATTGCCAAAGAAAACAGAAACATGCATTCAGAAACAGGTTGATAATTGAACTCAACCAAAACCTATTTGGTGAAATTAAGTGAATTATTTCATAATTTATGACAAATTATATATACCCACGCCCTCACACTCACTTTCTACAACCTCAGAACTAGAAGTGAAGAATGTTGTTTACTCTCCACAACTTGTATTTACTAGCCTTTGATTTTGTGTGCCACGCTATGAGTGCCTTTCAGTATATGCTGTAATTGTACCCCTGCATATCATTGAAGAGATCCACTTTTCTAATGCATACACATTTGTACTTCTCAGATGCCAATATTTACATATTTCTTCTCATAAGAAGAAAATGTAGTTTGATGAACTATGGTAGTGGCCATTTGGTTGGCCTCTGGCATTTCACCTTTCTTGTACCTCTCCCCCCAACAATTTCACTCTTGCTACTGGTCTCCCTCAGGTCCTCAGCAATACACCTGCCGTGACAAAGTTGTATCTCCTTGGAATACTGGGGAATGCAACTTCAAGGAATACACATAATTTGGCTGCAAAAGCTCATTCAAGCATATACTGAGAGCAAACTTTACCCAGCATGCATTTCGGCAGCGTAACAGATAATAGGAGTTTGTCTCAATACACTACACAGTGTTTACTAACGCACTCAGAGTGGCCCTAGATCTCCAAAGCTCACAATCGACCTTGCAAGGCCTAGAAAAAACACCAGCCATGTGTGAAGTTGATGGGGTGAACGGTGAAAGGTTACACATACTTTCATGCATACTGACCTAGACTGCTTCTATTTTAGTTAGATTAATGTTGGCTGGTAAGATCTGGTGCCTTTTATACAAAATTGTTCTGTTCTAATTAATTTCTTTGTCTAATATGTTTTATTTTGGATTGAATAAAGAGAGACTTCATAGGTCACCTCAAAACCAATAGGTTAACCATTACCACATTTTTGAACCACCTGATCACACCTGTCCTTTTCTGTCTGCCTTCCTTGCAGGATTTGATTATGAAAAGTGGCTAGTTAAGGTTAAAGTTAAGACCTACAGCTGCACAGCTAGGCAAAGTTAGATAAACTGTTTGAAAAACTGCCAGATGGGGTTAAAAGGGGCCAATCATCAGGTGCACTCAATAATATGCCAGAAAGTCTTCTCAATATATCCAAACCTGAAAATAAAATGTAGTGTAGTTAGACCGGTGCCTTTTATAGGGTTATTTATCGTACAAACCAGCCAGTCTTCTGAACAGTTCAATTTCTGTTCATATTTAGCTGAGCTTATTAACCTTAAATTATTTGGTTACATCACATTGGCATTTATCCCAGCTGATCAAAACAAAGTACTTAATGTGTGATATTTTATTTTTAATATTCTAACAAGTTTTGTTTTTAGTAGTTTGTCCCACTGCTGCTTGAGCGTAGAGAAAGCCTTTGTTGGGTGTCTGACAATGTTACATAACACACTGGATGACTTTTGTCTCCATCCAATTGAAATAAATGTATTGTAAGGACGTGAAACTATTTGGAATTAATTTGTACATGAATTAACTTTGCCTGGATTTTCATTGATGAAAACTGTTGATGTTGCTTTCTTCAGTTGTTTTTTGGAAATTGGCCTTTTGTGTGTGTGTGTGTATGAAACTGATAAATACAATGATCCCTATACACACCTTTAGGCATATGAGTATAGCTAAACTGTAGCCATTGAGGAAATCAACATTACAAAGAACACATTTTTTATCACAATTGTGTGGATTGTCATCATTCTCTCATGTCTACTTCAAAAAGACCCAGTACGTAGACCCGTTGAGTGTGTGCTGAGCTAGTATTAAGAAATAAGTGCCCTAAATGCCTTTTGCTTGAATAAAACAAATGTGATTTAATTCACAAAGCCTCGTCTTGTTTCTGATCTGTGACTGAAAGAATATCAAAGATGTCTCTCTTTGAAAGGGATTTTGTCATCAACACTGCTGATCAGCTCACTAGCTGCCACATCGCTGTCACTGACACCAGAAAGACTTAAAAAAAAATCAACTAATGTAAGACATTGCTGAGAATGTCCATTTTAAACAGGGTTGTGATTAATTAGAATTTACAGAAGATTGACCAATTGGGCCCTCTGAGGTTCTGGGACGGTGCCTTACTTTGCCAAGTTACTGATCCAGTCTTTATTACCGTGTATGCTAATACATCACTTCATCTAATTGTTTCCAATTTAAGTTTCCTCATGAGACTATATATGTCAATTGGGATCCGAATTCAAAACAAATTAGGGCTGAAATAAATGATTGTTTGGCTTTGAATGAATTTGGTTTATAAAAGTTAGAAAAGGTTGATACCAAATTCGGAGAACCAAAAGTGACATTCTCAATCACCTTTTTGTAAGATCAAAGATATTAACTATATTGGGCCATGGCTAATGAGCAAGCATTTGTTGATCATGATCTAAAGCAATTGTGTTCATCTTCTTGTGATTCTTGACATTTCACTCAACGTGGCGCAGGGGTAGAGAGGGTGCACCGGGAACTGCAAGGTTGGCAGTTCGAGCCCCAGCTGCTCCATGTCCCATGTCAAAGTGTCCCTGAGCAAGACACCTAACCTCTAATTGCTCCCTGGGCATGGGTTAAAAATGCAATGTAAGTCGCTTTGGATAAAAGCGTCAGCTAAATGACCTGTAATGTAATGTAACAAAACCATGGTGTTGATATGTCAAATTATGTATTGCATATATGATTTAGTATATAAAAATAAAATGTGCCATCACTTTTTTAAGTAATTATTTATTGTCAAACAGATTAACATATATAGCCGTTTTGTTCATGAATTTAGCAGTGGAGGCTGGTTAAGCGGGTTTGTTGTCCCACTGCCTAGTTTATGCTTCTGCGTTTTCAGAGCGATGCAGACGCAAGACCCCTTTGCGTGTCTTTTCACACCTCCTTGCGTCCTTGCGTGTGTCGAGCCATTTTTCTAGGCTTGCGTCGCACAGGGCTGCGATTGGTCTGCTAACTACATCCTTTACGGAGTCTCACACTTCCGTTTTCATAGCCCGGTACCGCCATTATTAAAACGAAGAATGTTTACGAGAGAACGGATCAGATTTAAGAACTTTTGTCGGAAGAAATGCGGAAATATGACCGCTTATACAACCCGTCGTTGGCGGGTTGTATAAGCGGGTTGGATTCATGGAGGAAGATCTCTGCGTGTGCGTCGCTCTGAAAACGCAGAAGCATAAACTAGTCTTAAAGGCTGGCGCATGCTTCTGCACTCGTCTCAATTCATGGTTCTAAAGGCTGACGTGTTTTGTTGAAGACGACCTAGAGAGTCACGTCTATTTATTTATTTGTTTATTTATTTATCACAGACTTTATTGCCCGTGCATCGCCACTGCTGCTTTTCATCGCGGACACATTTGTACCGTATTTTCCTCCACAACTTTGTGCACCTCTCGCCCGGTAAACCGGCGTTTGCGGAGATCTCCCTTCGTGAATCCAACCCGCATCTACAACCCGCCGATGACGGCTTGTATAAGCGGTCATATTTACTCAGCGACTGTACTAGTGAAGAGAGTGAGGACCGGCTATTTGGTCTGTTTCCATAGTAGCAGAAGCGCTCCTGCTATAACAATATCTGCAGCCAAAGATCCTGATGTCATTATTACATTACATTATTTCAATTCATTTTATTTTGTATAGCCCATAATCGCAAATTACTAATTTGACTCAGAGGGCTTTACAGTCTGTACACATACAACATCCTCTGTCCCGAAACCCACTATCGGCAAAGAAAATACTCCCCAAAAAATGAAAAAACCCTTCCAAGAGGGAAAAAAGGGAAGAAACCTTAGGGAGAATGTCAGAGGAGGGATCCCACTCCTGGCATGGACAGACTACAATGGATGCCATGTGTACAGAATGAACAATATATAATACATGCAATTCCTATGACAGAAATGATTCAAGTAATTGTGAGTAGTAAGCCAGGCGCACAGCAGGACCACTGCAGGGCAACCAGCATCAGATAGATCCACCATCCACAGAAGCCTGTGGGGAGGGAGAGCACAGAGACTTTAGGAGAGGGTAATGTTGGTTTACGAGTACATTAATATGATTTAATATCTAAAATAATGATGATGATGATGATGATGATAGCAGCAGCAGGCGTCAGCATGGCCACGGTAGGTGTCAGGACCAGGGTGCCGAAGGAACCACGATCTACGGAGACCTGATTAGGGGAGAAAGCACAAAAAAAAACTCCCGGAAAGAAGCTGAATTAGTCATGTGCATTAATAAAACTTGAATTATGGTAGAACGAGAGCGTGAGAGAGGAGCTCGGTGTGTCCTAAGAATTCCCCCGGCATTCTAAGCCTATAGCAGCTTAACTAAGGGCTAGTCCGGGCTAACCTGAGCCAGCCCTAACTATAGGCAGAATCAAAGAGGAACGTTTTAAGTTTTACTTTGAAAGAGCTGACCGAATCTGCCCCCCCGGACTGAAAGTGGAAGCTGGTTCCACAAAAGAGGAGCTTGATAACTGAAGGCTCTGGCCCCCATCCTACTTTTTAAAACCATAGGGACAACAAGTAACCCAGCATCTGCGCAGCTGCCTTGTAGGGCAATAAGGTGTTAGTCCAGTCTGGAAGTGACAAACGCATTAACTAATTTTTCTGCATCACTTTGAGATAGGAAGTTCCTGATTTTTGATGTTACGTAGATGAAAAACGGCGGTCCTTTAAGTCTTCTTTATATGCGAGTTGAAGGTCATATCCTGGTCGAAGAGAACTCCCAGAATCCTGATGGTGCTGCTGGGTACCAGAGTAATTCCATCCATAAAAACTGTATCTGAGTTTAGCATCAGGAAGTTGCCGGTCATCCAAGTTTTGATGTCTCCAAGACATTCTTGAAGTCTAACTAGCTGGTCCGTCTCTTCTGGTTTGATCGACAGATACAGTTGAGTAGTGTCTGCATAACAATGGAAGTTTATGCGGGGTTTCCTGATAAGATCGCCCAAAGGAAGCATATAGAGGCTAAATAAAATCGGTCCAAGTACAGAACCTTGTGGGACCAACATTGGTGGTCTTTGAGGATTCACCGTTTACAAGCAAAAACTGGGATCGATCCGATTAGTAGGATTTAAACCAGCTGAGTGCAGTTCCTTAGATACCAATCAAATGTTCTAGTCTCTGCAACAGGATACAATGGTCTATGGCAGGGATTCCCAAAGTGTGGTGCGCGCACCCCCAGGGGTGCACGAGATGCGACCAGGGGCTGCGCGAGAGGAAAAATATAATGGCGGTCAGTTTTTTAAAGTGGGATTTTTCCATTGACATTGTGAGATGCATGTAGTGGTAAAAACATTCTGTAAACAATTGTCTTGTGCTAAAAGCCAGGTCGTAGTGGTTGACCCTGAGATGGAGGGAGATAGAAAGATTTAGGGTTTGCAGCTGTGTTTGGGGAAGGGGGTCATCTTGCTCTCACAAACCTTCGATCAGAGGAGCATTGTGTGTTACCCTCAGCTTCACCTGAGTTCTTATCTCAACTTGATTTGTGGCTTGTGTCTTCAAGTGTATAAAAACTCAGCGTTTTTACTGCTCGGGGACGCCATTACACAGAGCGCTGGAATACGTGCTGGTGTGTTGGACCTACTGCTTGCAAGCAATAGTTTGAGCCAGATATCCAGAGAGATTTGCTCATGTATCTTTTTCTCTTCTAAATAAATGTTAACTTTTTGACTTTAATTGATCAACGTGCTGGATCATTCTCATCAAGTACACATTTACTTTGTAATCGCTTTTATTTTAAATATAAAAACTATAATATATTATTTTTTGATAGAAACGTAGAAGAAGACGCAGCTGTCGCAGAAAAGCCAAAAGAAAATGCAGTTTCATTCATGCGTTGGGTCTACGAAAGACGCACTACGGGCTTCATATCTGCTCAGTTACAGAGTAGGGAGAAAGGGGCTGCCGCACGCAATGGCCGAAGACGTGTGTTTGCCAGCGGCCAAAGAAATGGTGGAGTGTATGATTGGAGAGAAAGAGGCAAAAAAGTTGGACATGATTCCTGTGTCCAATAACACCGCATTGACCTCACGAATTGCAGCAGTTTTTTGAGGAGAATCCGTTTCATTTGGCCTCCAGTATGCATGACGAAGATTTTCTGAAAAGGCTCGCCTATCTAGCGGACATCTTCTCAGCTCTGAATGAACTCAATCTAAGTCTGCAGGGAGTCAGTGTAACTGTGTTCAACACACAAGACAGGGTTGAGGCCATGATAAAGAAGCTACGGTTCTGGGCAAGTTGTGTGAGTGGGAACACACACCTGTGTTTCCCTAGGCTTCACGAGTTCTTGGGGGAAAATGATGTGCACCTGGGTGAGCATGTAAAAACTCTCATAATTGAACACCTCAACCAACTCGCCGAGCAGCTACGGAAACACTTTCCACCTTCCACCATGGACACATCTGCCGCTTGGATTCGCAATCCATTTGAAGTTTCCATGCCCGTCCCACAGCTGTCATTTCACGAGCAGGAGCAGCTGATCGAGCTGTCATCTGATGGAGCACTGCAGTTTTATCTATTTCGGAGCCTATTCTTTTTTATGTTGTGGATCGTTTGTTGTTCATTGCAGTTTAATTCAGCCTGTGTTGATGTTGTTATTGTCATGCGTGTTGTGGTTATTTGCGCATGTTTAAACATGAGTCTCTATATGACGATAAAACAAAGTTTTGTTTCTAAGCGTTTTTTTCTAAGTGTGAATTGGGGGTGCGCCAACCCGGTTAGGACATGGAAGGGGGTGCGCAGAAAAAAAAGTTTGGGACCCGCTGCACTATTGCATTATTAGTTTTAACTTTAATTAAGTTATTTATTATAACTCCTCGGTTGTTTACCTTTAACTTAGATA